TATCAAACAAATCGAGATCAAGTATTAAACTACTGCAAAAATAAAAGATATCTATGTAATCCACCGAAAAATATACCACATTTTAAAAGACAAAATGTGTTTTTGAAAAACTAAAATTATAGATATCTACTTATTTTAGATTGTACTGCAAATTTTATTTTTGAAAAAAATAAAAGCGATATAATACTACTCTCCTAATGTTAATTTTGTAGATTTCTCTGTGTTAATAATACGTTGTAAATTTCAAACTTCTATCCTTTCAAGGAATTAAGATATTTGCTGGGACACCCGGTATGCTATATAAAAAAAATTTGTAAAGATGAAAAAAGAAGATAGCCATGATCTGACCGTTTGGGGGAAGAAAATTATTATGTACAAAACTTTTATGAAACACATATACCTACCTACGACTATCTCTAAATACAAAGTGGTCGCCAGTTTTTAAATGTGTTGAAAACATACATACTAAGATGTCTACAAATCACAGTCATCTCTATTTTGTAATTAGGGGTGACCTAAAGTGAAACTCAATTTATATTTTGGATTTTTGTAATGTAACAATTATCATCCACTCAGTTATAGTTAAGCATGCCACATATTTTTATAAGTATAATTATTTGAAGGTAAAATGGATGTTACAATCTTCTGATATCAAAATTTCAAGACCCATAGAGAACTACTTATTTGTTAATTTTTATTTTTTTTAATTTTGACGTAGGTACATCACCCAAGAAATATGGCTATAAAATTGTATATGGTTAATTTCTATCGAAAATGTCATTGAACCTACTACGTTTTTCCAAAAAATCGCATTAATATCTTTGTAGATACAACACTACAAATATTTAACTAAGAATCATATGTCTACAGGATGTCTCTTTTATTTGCTACAACCCCTACACCTTTTTTAATTTTAAAAATAAACTTGTAGTTCTTTGAGCAAATTTGTATCATTTTAGAAGATCCATGTGATCACAACCTCACATTTTTATTATCACTATTTATGGAACACTAGGTATATTTTTAATAAATGAAAGATTGCTTTTTTCTAAAAAATCAAAAGCAACCAATATTATAAAATCAATACTTAAAAAGTTATTCAATAAAATAAACGAAAAATTCATATTTATTGATGACAATCTAGTAGCTCGAAAAATTGACACTCATGTCATTTATTCAATTAAGTGATCTTTTAAAATGATACAAATTTGCTCAAACAACTATATGTTTAAAAATAAAAAAAATACAGACGTTAAATGAAATAAAATAAACACGTGGTATATGTTAACATTCCTCGATCTAGAGTGTATTCTCTTCATTAACAGCAATTTGAAACTATGTAATTTACTAAGTCACAACAGTCTAAAAGAAAAGTAACAGATTATGTTTGTTTTTGTACTTAAAAGGATTTATCGTTGCTTTGGAAGACAAATGCGTTAAAATATGTAACGAAAAACAAAATTGGAACCATTTTCAGAGTACGACAATTTATGTATACCTAAGCATATTATTTTATTTTCTTCTTCTTGTTTTCAATTCTGTTTTTAATTTCGACTAGATTTTTTAATGTGTAGGTAGGTTCATTTTTTTCACTTTATTGCCAAAGCGGACAGTTGATTTGCAAATCTGTTATTTTTTATTATAATTTTTGAAATATAAACTAATCTCACAAAATTAAATTATAGTGTTTGATCGATAGAATAACCTTGTCTAGAAGTCTGAAATTTTTGCATTGTAAAAGTACCTATCGTAAAATAAAAACAAATTAGAATTGACTGGCGTTTTTACATGGATTTGTGAAATTTTGCTACCATACAATGCTCACATCAAAATTAATTCCCACGTTTGGCCATCTCATGATAAGTACATACCTAGGTAGCCCACTTGTGCCAAATATGTCAGTTAATTTTTACTCCACGATATTTTTGTAATACGATATCCTTTATTAGAACCTACTAATTGCACAAATAAAACGACACATAATTTTATTTCTTATTTAGAAAATTTTACGGTAGGTATTTGAAACTACCAACAACTGTCAAACTTTTTAAGACTGCGAACAGGGTTGCCTAAAATTAGTATTTTTTGTCAGTAACGTTAAAGTTGAACTTAGGTGTTTAGTTAATACAAATTAAAAAAGAAAAATACAATCACAGTGCGGTAATTAAAAAAAAAAGATACTTCACTGCTGTGATTATTTCATAATATTATTCACTTAAGAAATATTCATTTCGCCTGAAATATCAAACTTTAAGGAACAACGAAAACACATTCACTCAGAAAAATGTCGCCCTACTATATGACTGATAAGGACTTAAGGATACATGGCATCACTTCACCATGGTTTCTTATGGAGATGCAAATAGTTGAATTTCTTGTGCATTTTACCGTAGCAGCGCCCTTAAGAAACTCAGGTCTAATTGGTAACATGTGTAAGGTGTAGCTGACCCTGAAAGGGTGGACCACTTCATAGCATTATTTCAATGGAGAAAGCTTGGGTTTTTTCTGACAGATAAAGAGCAAACACTGCCAAATATTGATAACATTTATTGACAACCGTTTTTATGAGCCAAATTTAGGTTAGCATAGAAAAAAATCATTTTAATTCAGTTTTCAATTTTTTTATTAGCCATTTATTTACTTTCTTAATCATCTATATGTATTCGGCACTTCATGCGTCAACCACGCTGTATGTAGCCAGAGCAATATTTATAACAGTACGTGGCTACGTACTGATTACAGTTGATTGATAGGAAATGTTCGTAATTTATTCAATACTCGAAACGATGTGTGCATCAGGTTTCGCTTAGAAGATAGTAGACAATCAGACATCGTTCGAATAAGGAAAAAAAACACGTTTAAAAGTTTAAAGTGAAAAGTGTTAGATACGTTGTGAAAATTTATGTGAAGTTGTTTCCGCAACACATTCACAGGTAAGATATGTTTATGCATTATGTCATGTCGAGCGCTATAATAAAAAAAGAGCAACCCGTTGTTCTAATTTCTTTGTATTTATTGTATTACTTAACGTAAGCTTGTGTTAATTTTTGCATTTTAAGTTAATTTCAACAATTAAACGATTAAAACAAACCTGTGCTCAGTTTAACTTTATTTTGGGTTTAATTTATAAAAGGCAAGTTAAAAAATGTCCATTTAATAAGGCAATTAACTGATCAAGTCATGAAATTTTCTTAATCACGTTCTCAGAGTTAGGTACGGGTTAAAATGTTAGTTAAATATGTATTTAATACGGATTAAGATATTTGATTCAATTTTTATAAACAGGACATTAATGTTTTTTCTCGGTTTCTTTAAATTGAAAAATTTGGAAACAAATAATAACCATGATGACAAATTACTAACAAGGTGCAAGATAATTTAATTTTAAATACTTAGGCGGAAATTGTATATTACCTAACACTCATACTTATACTTAATTTCACGTTTTGTATATACATTATTAATCGATTACTATGTTAAATAACTGTATATAATTTTATTTAAAAAAGCAGTATTTTGCTGATCCCGACGAAAAATTTATGACGTCATTCTCGTTACAAAGAGTGCTGTTTAGTAATGTCACATGAAAAGTCCAGTGAGACATGCTGCTTTATCTGCAGCTAGTAATCTATCCCTATTTTTAGCTTTATCTCCTACTATAGTTATCTTAAAAATTCAGTAAGTTGGTACTGTTAAATATTACTAGGTATGTCTATGAAATTTAAAGTAACTTTAAATCTATCTAGATATATTTGAACGTGACCGTGTTTCCAAAAATTCAGGATAATTACAGGACCAAATTGTTTGAGATTTTCTAACCAACAAACAATAGACAGACGGAAACCAGAAAGGTGTGTTTATTTTTGTATTCTTCAAACTGCAAACGTCAAAAAAACAAGAAATCAGGTATTTGTTAAAATGGTTCTTATTACAATACTTCCCTCAGCTATCATTTGGTGAACTAAAATTTAAAAATAATATTATCGAATTTATAAAGCTAAGGCAACTTAGTCACGTCAAGAAATCAAAAATCAAATACAATCTTTCATTAATGCAACATTAAATGTGAAATAAGGCATTAATTTTTAATATTCTTCATCACTTTTTACAATTAAATAATGATGACAATTAGGAAATGATTTTATTGCAATATAAGTACAACATAAATATTATAAATTCGTCATTACAGTTAAAACACATTAAAAATTTATTTGCTTTTATGTTTCATTAGCGTACTGAAGCAATACATTAAATTTACGTCTCCGTTAATTTTTGTTCGCAGCGTTTTTGTTTCTGAAACCACTTGTAGAATTGTTATGCCTCTTTTTATGTGTCATAAAGTAAAATAAATACAATTTCAATTGTTCTCTCTGTAAACATACAAATATTTATAATAACAACAAAAAATACGGCCTTTAATTACAAAATTAACACATCATTTACCATTTACGTCATTACCAAATTTCGGAATCTTTTATCAGCGAAAACAACATTTGGAAGTCAACGCAGAACTAACCTTTCGCCTTCAATTCACACGTTCCATCCCTCTCAGCCACAATTTCCCCCCCTAACGTCAAAAAAGCGATCATAGAAAACCAACCGCGCATAAATCATGCATAAAATTAAAATTAAGAAATCGTAAATTACGAATAAACAAAAGTAATCCTATATCAATACACATACGAGTCGTTCCAGTGGCCGGAGTGATTGTCTTGACTTAGCGCCTTTTCAAGCTCCGCCCCCTATCAATAACTCCAAAAGGACGGAAAATCGCGCCTGCCGCGCTCTAGACAGAGATCGCCTCTCTGAAAACATGACATATGCACGCATGCTCTTTGAATTACAAGCGGGGGCGTGACCGAGCTTCCAAACTTTCAGTGTCGTTTCAGATAAGAGGCGGAGAGAGACGGCGCTTTAGGCGGTATGGCGAGCCAGAAAAAGACGGCAGACGTGGAAATGCCCGAATATTGCCGATCGGCCTGGCATTCGGCAGAGGTCCACATAGGTAGCCCTATGATGATATATAGAGTAGACGACTTATGGTTAAACCGCGTTGGGAAGTGGCCCAGATTACAGAGACTTTGCAGTATCAAGTCCTAACCCGATATCTGTACGGCCGCTAAGCGCTTAAGACTTTTTAATACTTTCATAGGATTTCGTGAAAACCGCCCTGCATTTGCAGTGGCAGTGATTTGTAAGATATTAACGGCGCGGACAACCGGTTTCATGACAAGGATTTTCGAGTGGATGATCGCGGATTTATTTATGTTTTTCCGGTGTTTTATTGAGATTTTCGTTATCCGGCTAGTGCTACAAGGACTGTGATAGATTTGTGATTCGAGGAGTTTGCTTGGACATCGCACGAGGATTCTAACAGGTGCGTCTGTGATCCTTCTAGGATTTTCCTTGTGGTGGTTACTGTGTATTTTTTTCCTAATAACGGAGAATTACCGGGGTTGCTACTCGTGCCTGAACTGTAAATAGTGCTCCAAATGGCCGCTATAAATTTAGGCCTAATAGCTCTGCTGATAAATTGGCTACTTATCTTATTCACAAAAAAAAAGAAATATTTACAGACCAGTTATGAGGGTTATATCCACATTCTTTCGTCATTATAAATAGTTCGCATTATTTCCCATAAAAATCTGGATGACAACGTTACACATAACGACCGCTGGTACAATAAATGTAATTATTGCTAAGCAGGAACAGTTTCAGTATGTCCACAGTATAATTCTAACATTAGAGACCCACGTATTTCACAACACGTATTTTATAGCTACAGTGAAATTATTTTTGTTTCTACTCCACAAGTATGCTTTTACCTACGTACCTACATTTTTAAACTACGTCGGTTCATTAGCATAACTCAAGTGACGTTAAAAATACGTATTAAATGTGTCTTTCGATAATGACAACCCTAAAATCAGCAAAAGAAGGCCTCAGGTAGCAGTTTTTTCAGGCGATTGTAGCGTACAATTTTCCGACGGATACGTCGTCGCATTCGCATTGTCACATACGCAGGTACGTAATATTTGATTGATGGCCTATTACTTTACAAAAGATGCAGATTTCCGAGCTACTTGTGTGCAAAATTTTTGCATAATCCACAACCAATATGTTTTAGTTTGCCAAAAATGTTCACACGTTTCTAAATATTTCATTTCTATTTTGTCACAATATAGAAATCAAGAGATGATTTATATTGGTTATTTGACAAAATCTTGTGCTATTCGTAAGAGTTTTAGGAGTAATGAACTGTGAACGATGTGATCTGTTTGTTTCAAATTAATGTAGGTGGATTATATGAAAATTCCGTTGTGACCATTTAACAACGCCGCACTCTTGTCATTTTGCGGTGAAGTGTGAAAAAGGGGGACCGAGGTAGTTCTTGTGGGTGAAGAAATTATTTTTCATCGACGGAAAACGCTACTTGATTCGTATAAGTAATCACCAATTTTTGTTTAATGAAAAATGTATAAGAATATCTTTTAGTGACGAAAATTGTGTCATATATAATTTTCATGTTTTTATTATATAAATAGAAGTACCAAAACGGTTTTTAATGGGAAACTTATTTTCTTCACCACTCTTGCCAAATTGTAAGAATGTCGAGTATAAAAAAGTGGGTGTGTTTATCGAGAATACACAAGTAGCCATTCTGTCTTAAAATTGGCTATTAACAACATCAATATATCGAAATTGTTGATATGTACAAATTTTTCTACATTTCATTTAGGTAAATCATGTGGAATGTCGGCATAAAATATTTATACTATCAGCTACAAAGTAATGAAAATAATAGGTACCTATAATTTGAAAGAACAGTAGACAATAAACTTCTAAAACAGTAAGAAAACAAACAAAAAGTTTAACTAAATTAATTATTTTGTTGATACAATCGTTGTAAGTTAAGATAATAAAGATCTTTAAAAGTTTAAGAATTTTTAATAAAAATTAAAAAACCGACTGACATTTATTTGTTTTGATACTTATTTACGAAACCGTAATTATATTGTATACAAGTTAGTGTGTCCATAACGAATGGGACAAACAACAAAATCTAGCAATTCTGGCGATGTTAAAATTTTTTCACTACAAGTGTACGTTTATTTGAAATTTTGAATATTGTTTAGTCATCTACAACAGACGAAAAAAAACAGATATAGAAATATGTAAATTTATATGTTTTATTTGAACCATAAGAAACCCAAAAAGTACCTAATATAAATGACACTTAGATAAGAAAAACGCTGATGGGACAAAATCACTAGACCTCTGACATAACGTAGTGTTAGAAACAAAACATTTTTTTTTTAATAGGAGTTTAGCTTTCCGACGCCAATTTTAAAAGAAAACTTAAAATTTGACCACAATTGTATCACTTTTGTGTGCTCTGCAATTTTCATGTTTTTGCCACTTAAAAAATTATTATTTGTTACAGGTGGCCAAAAATTGTCAAAGTAAAATTAAAAAAGCGATTTTGTCAAGCGTTTGGTTTGCCTAATAAATCAGTTTTGCCGCTAAATGTCAAAATTACAACGTATACTTTGCAATGATTAATTTTAAAGTTTAATTTGTGCATTTTACAAAACTCTCTTTAAACTCTGGTTGTTGTTTTGCATTATTAATGTTCTTTAATTTGCTGTTTAACATATTCATTAATTATTAACAACGTTAATTATTACGGATGTCATAACATCAAGTGGTAATATGTGCTGGAAAATATCTCCAACTTTTGTATTACTTCATCGGTAGGTACAAATTCATCTCATAGTGCGCAGTTGTTTGGTCAGTTTATACGGTGGGTCGTTTCTAAGGAATCGACAGTAAGTGCTGACATCGCGCGGATCAAATCCCATAGTTCGGAATTTTTTTTCGAAATTTATGTTAGCGTGTACTTATTAAAAATCTTATGACCACCGTTATGCATTTATTTAAATTTCTTTAATGAGTTTTCACGCTTTGTTTCTAAAAGAAACAATAATTTATTAATCTTGATAAAAAAAAATAAAGCGAGCAATTTATTTTGCTACACAAAAAATTGAATAATATGACTATTTTAATAAAAATTTTCCATAACGTGTATTGACTCATTGCCATTGAGAACTTGGAAAAAAAAGATATCTCTATTAAAAAAAATATTGTTGACGTCATAATTTTATCAGCATTATCCTTAAGTGTTCATAGTGCTCATTTTTGTGGGCTTTTATTGATTATAAACACGTTGTATCTACTTAATGGCGCTTTGTGCAGTAAGTGTTTTAAATTGCGTTTTTTAATGCCAAAAACCAGTAGAGAGGAATACCTACTGATTAGTTTCTATATCTCAAAATTACTATTTTATAGTAAATTTAATTTTTTGTTTGTTTTCATTTTCATTATTAGGTACCTTTACTTTATTCTACATTAGATACGCTAAGTATTAATTTCTGATTTCGAGGATTTTGTTAATTACGACGCCTGACAAATTCACTCGATACTGCAGCTGATATTGTATTGAAACAAAAACACTGCAAAATTGTCTAGAACTGCATGTCTCTTATAATTTGTGGTTTCGTTTCCTGCTATCAATCAGGAGACAATTTTTGTTTGTTTTTTTTTTTCGAAAAATTTTGTTAGTATTTTTGTTTTTCGAAAATGATACTATTTCATTCATCGGCTCGTTTTCCTTTTGTTAATTCTAACACTAATAGTTTTCGTTCACAAAACATTTTAATCCGTGAAAATTAAATACATTTATCTAATTATTATTGATATATTTTCAGTAATCAGTGGAATATCAATGTTGTGTACCAAATCCTCAAATTATTGAACCAGAGATAAAGAAACATGAAATATATCAAACAGAATTTTGTTGTGACGTCATTAATTTTTTTGGAGAGGATAAACGCAGAAATTCTAGTCAGTGTTTCACCATTTTAGTATTAAATTTAAGAAACCTACACTTAAATGTCAAAGTAATGGCTTCGTTTATTTTGAAGGTCGTGTACCTACTTAAAAAATCAGGAAGACACAAACAATCCAGCCGAAGCGGGAAACCTGCATTATTGTATTGTAGCAGCAATGAAACCTTCAGTTTGGTCAAAATTAATTTCGCCCTTAGACTTCGCAAAAAACTTGAAAGACAAAATATTCCCAAAACGTTTTGAAAAACAATAAATCTCGAGGTTAAGCCGTGGTCCAAGCTGTAAAATCTTCCGGATATGCATACAGCAACCGATAAGTCCACGGATCCGGTTCGATCAGTCCGAGCGATCGCAAAGCTCCGGACTTAGGCTAACCCATCGACTTAAGTCGCTCCGACTCCGGTTAATAACAAGCATATTTCAGCGACCTTCTCCGGCGGTCAATTACGGCCGCTAATGACGAAATAAATACCGTCAAGTGATTGGAGCTTGTCGTTGTATCAAATTAGTGGGGTGGCGGCGAGAGAGGGGATGAAAAGCACGGGCTTAGTAGCCGCAAAGCTCTCAGACCGATGCCGACTCCGTCGCGACGCTCACTTGATCCGGTCTAAACCTGGCCAAAGCTGTTTTTAAGCTCCGTACCTTTTTTCATGGACTTAACCGACTTTTGGTCTTTGTTCACGTCGCACCTGGATTTACTTACGATCTTTTAAGTGATCCCGGCACTGAGTGATTTTGTAACTGATTTGTGCATCTTTAGCGGGATTTGCGGGTATTAATTTCAGGCTTTTTTGCGGGGAAGTGGCTCAGGTTGGAGGAGGCGCTAAAAACGTTTCGCACGTTTTACTCAGTTCCGGTTAAGGTAATGTTGATATTTTCTAAAGCCTGTTTTTTTCAAGTCGCGAAAACTATCACCGACGTGGTTCGGGCCGGGTGAGGATTAATCTGTCGTTAGTAGGGCGCTTCTGAATTTACAAGTCTCAAGTTTTATGGATATTTACCATGAGCTAAAGTTAAGGAGATTTTAGTGTGCATGTCTTAAGAACAAGTCATCGTAAAACAATTTATCAAGAAACAGTGTCTCTGTCTCTCTGTTGTTTATTATTCGAAATAATATTTCATTTAAAACAAAAATGGATTTTAACAATGTTCGTGTCAGCTGTTCCATAGCCTTGTTCTCGTCTGTCCGAAAAAAATTAATAATTATTGTGGTCGAGTAGAGTCATTTTCTGTATACTTATTCCTATTCAATATATTATAAAATAAAAATTTCCGATAAATATACCTAACACTCAAATATCAAATACTTATTTCATGTTTCTTTAATGACCTGTTTTGCGCCTGCGCAATCAGGCTCACTTTTCTAAAAATTATATTTTTAATTTATGTTAAATTTATGTTTTGGGGGATCACTTCTTCTACTGATACATCCAGTTGTAAAAATTGGAATGAATTTCACAGTTTATATAGACATTTTTACATTTATTATAACCTCCTGTAACTTGGGCCAAATCCACTGTAGACAGCCTCGGAAAGGACCTAACAATAAAACATTTTATAAACTATCCTGTCATCAATACAGAATCAGATAATTAAGTAGTTGGATAGAAGCATGTTATAAAAAAAATATCGCATATTGAACGCGATAATAATTTATTTGTATTTTTTGAAATGACAGTTATTTGTATGGGATGAATAATAACAAAATTCAAAAATTTGTGGTCTCCATTTTTGAGATGAACAGGAAAATTTGAGAATCAAACATTTTTGGGATGACGTCACCGACGAAAGACTAATTTCATGTTTTTTCGACGTTTCATGATCCCCTGAATATGAAAAAACAGATTTTCCGTTTGTCTGTCACCCGTCTGTAGTCTGCTAGAGATTTTATTACACAGATAATCTCCGAAACTATTGAAATTATTGTTATTAAATTGTATATATTTTAGCAGATTTTAGCAATATTATGTATATGGTAAAACACTAGCCAAAACTTGTTTAATCATCTCCGCCAAAAATTTGGTGACGTCATCCCAAAACTTTGAGTTGTAATTTTTGTAATTAAATTTAGACATAAACGTTTTAAGGTTATCGTAAACATACTAAATTGTTAATGAAAATTTATCCGTTTATCCCTCCTAAAAACTTGATGACGTCATCTCAAAATTTTGCGGGATAAATCCTGTTTAAAATATGCAAAATATTACAAGTCGTTTAACAATGGATTCATATTTTTTAGAATTGTATATACACAAAAAAATATTAATGAAGCACCTGTCCAAATTGATAGGTCTCTTGACATACGAGTGTCAGTAAATTAAGACGAAAAGATTATTTTCATTTACTGTTCTAAAAGAGTACTTTACCTTGAATTTGAAAACAAAAATCTGGCAGACGAATCATTAACTGACCTCAAATTGTTTTCCACTAAGTTTGATCGGGTTCTAAATTTTTTTTTTTAATTTATAAAAATGTATCAAATAAACATCTCTGAATTAATATTTGGGTCAACCCATAAATCTAGGCTTTTTATATCTATCCTTTAAAGTACTATAACTACTTAGATAATTCATCAAGGAATGATAAGAAATTATTTAAATAAAAATAACATGAAATAAGTGGGCAGGATGCAGCTTTGTTTCACTGCCCCTCCTAATCACATTTTTTATTTGTCATAACTCTTAATTATAAGATGTGCTTCACGTTGTAAAACTGTACTAATTTTGTTTATGTTTCATTAAATTTTAGTTCAATTTAAATGAATCGAAAATGTTTAAACATCAAAGCAGCTTACAATTTTTAACATTGTATCACTCTGCTGCATTCACTCTAAACTCGAAGCAACCATTTTCTTTCACTGTCAAACCTATTTCCAAAAAACACAAAGAAAAAATAAACGTAATCTCGCTCGAATCTAATCAAATTCCTCCTCTTCTTTTAGGTGTTCTGCACACATCAAAAGTGATGTTATCGACCTGGACGCCGTAAAGTAAAACCTAGAAAAAATAATTTTATCGCGCGCGCGTGCATTCCAACTTAAATCCTGTAATAATTCAAATGGAACGGATGGAATCGCTGTCTGATCCAGCATTGTGCCTCCAAGACCTGGTGACGGGAGTAACAACATCGTCTGCAAATTCGGACATTCATGGAGTTCATCATCTACATGACTCCGTTAGTTCAGCAGTGTCTGTTAGTTCAGCAATTACCGGAATTATGAGCGGAGCTTCGGCTTCGGTCTTGGGACATCACGTGACGTCCCATGAACCGCCGCACCACCATGGAGTCGTGCCCCACACGCCGTCCCTGCATCACGAGCCTCTGGAAAAACTAAAACGTGGTGAGTCGAACTAGTTTATGTAAAGGTGGAACCAGTGGCGGAGGTGCAAAAAGGTCCACCGAATAATAATAAACACACATTTGTTCAAAAATTCAAAAATGTACAAAAATAACTTTAAATCTACGATATTATAGACAAAGTATGAAAAAAATGGCACTTTGCCAAATTTGCAAAAACGGATTATAATCAATCACCTTTCATCATCATCCTAATTAGTGCATATTCTTAAGAATTTTGTTATCATATTACTAATATCGATTTGCAGATTGCATGTATTCTAGACTTTACTAATAACATATAATCTTCGGATCTTATCATTATGTCTACAAAAAACAGAATAAAATGGGTGACGTTTTCGTTGTCTAGGAATCGGCTCTTTTGCCGCACGTCAAAATGTGGAAGTGAGAATAGAATCTTTACCTATTTTATCTCAACTATTTGTGTATTAGCAAATTTGATAATTACAATTTGTTTTCTAATAATACAATGGTGACTATAAATGCCGTTATTCAAAGATAAATTATATGTAAGGTGTACCAAACCATAAAAATCTTAATCAAGAGGGCTATTAAATAACATTAGATTCGTATTTTTTCGCCTAACTAGAAACTTCATTGGATGAAAGATATAGATATAGAGAGAGAGCAAGTTTTGTAAATAACTTCTATTACTTAAGGGAATAAAAACTACACCCAGTATTTTGGATTTTATTTCACGAGCAATAAGTAACTCTCTTAAGATATTAACATTCAAAATTAATTGGTTAATTATATAGGAGTAATTAATACGTAGGGTGTCTCAGATTAAATTCCAAGGACTAATATACAATACTGACATTATGGGAAAGCTATTGGTTTTAGCTTGAAGGGGGAAGCGTCGGCGTAGTGACACAAACTCATGTTTTTTAAATTACAGCTTCTATATATTTTTCAACGGATTTTGACATATTAATATTACTTTCCGAACGTAAGTTAAGGAAGTATAGTAATCGAGTCCATCCGTCGAATTGCCATTTTTATATTTTCTGGACGTGTCATGACCTCTAGAGTACGAAAAGTGGTCTGCCGTTTCCGTCTGTCTGTATCCATTTTTATTAGACACATAATCTCCGAAACTACCGAACCGATTGTTGTCAAATTTTGTACGTATATTATAAATATCATGTAGGTGGTTAAACGCTAACTAAAATTTGGCTAACTATCCCCACCATCAATGGAATGGCGTTATCTCCAAAATTTATGATAGTATTTTTTTTATTTTATAAAACTCCTGCACTTATGGTGTCGAATTTTCACTTTAGACATCCAGATTTTCCGAAAAAAATTCAAACCTGTATAACAATATTTTGCAATTTAACTTTGAAACTGCAAAACCGAATGCTTTGAAATCTTGTAAATATGTTAAGGTTATCGTAATCTGGTAAATCGTTAAGTAAAATTTATTCGTTTATCCCCTCCCAAAAAATTGATGACGTCATCTCAAAATTTCGTCGAATAAATCCTCTGAAATATGCAAAATATTATAACTAGATTCTTGTGGTTTATCAACGCACTCATAGTTTTTAGAATAACTTATACCGAGTGACTCAAAAAATTAATGAAAGAATCAATTTATTTTATTGACTAAATCAGGAACTGTAAAACCGAATGCTTTGAAATCTTGCAGACGTTTTAAACTTATCGTAAGCATGGTAAATTTTTAATTAAAATGTATGTGTTTTTCCCATACAAAATATGATAAGTCTACACTTGTGGTTTATCATTGCATTAAAAGTTTTTAAATTTCTTATACAAGGTCACTCATAAAAATAATGGATGAGTCAATTTATTTTACTGAAAACGGGAACGGCTTACTCCATTTTTTCGAAAATTTGGAAATACAATACTGTTAACTAACTTCTTTACATTTATTTTAACGTTACATACATATATCTTTATTTTAACTTATAAGGATTCTCATAAAAAAAATACAATTCGCATAACCAAATTTTACAATTTTTGTAAAAAGTTGAGTTTGAGAGTACTTCAGGAGCGAGGGAAGTTCTATCGAAATAACCTTCGACCAATTTTTTAATTACGATTACAATGAAAATAATACTTAGGTGTTTATTTAATTTTAATTCGATAAAAAATAAAACTTATAAATATACAAAAATTAAAGTCGGGTGAAATATTGTTCTAGAACCAGTTTATTTTATGAAAAAATGATCTAGGTATTTTCCTCGCCCCTGAAATGCAGGCGAACAAATACAGATTCTTCCCTATAAGTTAAAAAAGATAGGTTTGGAGTGTTAAAGTACAGGTAAAGAAGCATGCTATGTGTATATTTCAAGTGAGTTTGAGACTGCTTCATTAATTATTTTTTTGGGTGACCTGTATAAGTAATTCTAAAAATTCTGCATTTGACGCCATAGGTATATGCAAAGTCCTAATTAAGCTATCTTCTTCAAGCTAAAAATAATAACGTTTACAGAATTTCAATATGTCTATATATGTTTTGACCACTGTTTTCAGTTTAGAAAACTGTATAAGGCAATAAAAATACAATAAAAGACAACCACTGATTTGTGAAGATTTGCCTATGACAGAATTTTCGTCTTGATAGATTGCCGTTAATTTGAAAGTTTGAGTCGAAAATGCAACAATCATAGACACATTTTCAAAAATCCATGATGTTTTTGATCGTATTTTTTATTGCCCTCTCGATATATATAGACACCAATAATACAAATAAAGAACATAACTTTAAGTTAAATTTAGAGATTATGTAATTAATCCTTAAGACGTTTAAACGTTTAAAATTTCTTGTACCAAATTATTCTTCTGTGCCACAAGTATTAACACTATACTTTTAGCATGAAGCAGCAAAAAACTTAGTGATTCACAACAGAGTATGATTTTAATTAATTTAGGTACATTAGACAGTCAAAAATATAAAAACATGCACAACTTTTGAATTGTAGCTAAAATTTTTGCATATTTTTAAATACTTCCATAATTGATATTTTAAAAAGTCGAACACTGTGCTTTCATTCCGTGTTCAGTCGCTACGTAACGACTTTTCAAAATGTAGAGAGGACCTTAGTGGGAGAGAAAATATCGATAAAAATATCAGTTTAAAGGACCAATAAATTTCGCAACATTATCTTCAATTTTCTCTGTCTCATACAAATTTATGGATTCTAATTATCGATAAATAATTTATCAATTACCCATAAGATTAAATTTTATCGAGTAATAAATTTTATAGCCAACAGAAGCGGTGATATTTTTCTTTAGTGCTAAGTGCATATCATAAAAAGTTGATGTATGAGTATGTACCAACTTGTTCATGCTTACAATGTATATCATCTAATAAAAATGATTTAATGTTTAAAAGATGTAAGAACAAAATACACAATTTTTACATTACTAGTTACCAGCGCATTTTATGTTACGTAATAAAGATAAGTCCAAGAATTTATGATATTAGCAGAGTTTTTGACTGAAAATGAATATCTTCCTAAATTTCAAGAAATAGTATCACAATGACGTGGCACTTACGAAAAACTAACTATGTACACCATCTTTCAAAAGAGTTTAACTTATAGACTTATTTTATGGATAGGTGGTTAGCATGGCTTCAGGTTCTCGTTCATTTGGTCGTTTATTACTCAATGATGCAGTTCTTAGAGTTTTTCCGACACATTTCTTCCCGACTCCGTGGAAATTGCCCTACATCATCTCTATCTTTACATAATTTTACGACATGACATTTGAGCTGATTGCAACTTCAGAATGCATATTGATTTAAAAGGAAACTTCTCTCACCTTACATTTAAAAAGCGTTTCCTGAATTTGTTAGTACTTAAGTAAAGTCGTAAAGTTTAATATATTTAATTGATAATCTGTTTCTGACCGAACCACCCGCCACTCAAGGTGCATCAATACAAAAACAACAATCTATGAATGTTGGATATGTGTGATTCAGTCCTTAGCTATGCTTATTCCAAAACATACCGATTGAAATATTCGCTCATCTTATCACGATCGTAGGTGTGATAAAATGTTGCTTGTGATTGCGTTGTAAAGTTGCTGCACTCAATGACGGTTCAAAATCCTCTTATAAAATCTGTAATTCTCGACCATTTCGTTTAAAATAAATTCGATAGCAGCAACAAGGCGATGTTGCGCCGCCGTCGTTTGGCGACGGCCGCCTTTATAATTCGCATTAGGTGGCCATTACCTCGATACCCGGATCATCCGGTATTACCGGTAAGCCCGCAGTTAATGAATCAGACACCTTCGCCTCTTCATCTATTACATGTTTACCGATTCATTCGTTTAAAGTTAACTAAAGGGCGGCCAAAAGTGGGTTTTTGTTCTTTTTGCAACCTTGACCAACAGATGAGAGTATTAAGTCAAGTGTTTGAGTAATGTGTTTTGATTTGTTTCAAATAAGTAAAATAGATAATAATAGAGATAGTGTCAATTTAAATCCATTAAAAATCAGGAGACAGGAGATAAATGGTTTTTAATAGTTGTTTAGGTGTTACGCTTGTGAGAATTACTTACACCATTGGCTTATCAAGTAATAAGAAGATTATGGTAAAGCTGAGCGTACTCGTAATATCGAAATCAGAAAAGTTGTTTTCGTGTACTAGAATTTCTTTTTCGTATCATGTGACAGATTCTTGAAGTGGCTACATTTTTGGTCTTTTTTTATTAATTGTTGATGGGAATTTAATTCCACCTATTATTCTTGAAACACTTGTGACTTCCTCTGACGTCAGACACAAGTGCTGATTATTTTTATCTTTCAATATGAAATAACAAAGAAATTAAAAATTTCGGGTTTAGGGTGTGCAAAAATCCTTTGTTAACCTTGACACTATATTGTTTTGGTAAACATCTGATAAATTGATACCTAATTAGGAAAAAATGTGAAAGCATTTTCCACTCTAGATCTCTGCATGAAATAATTCCCAAAAATATATCACGTGACATATTTACTATGCAAAT